TCTGGTGGGAAATAATTAGGATGGAACTGAGTTTCTAGAAAATTTTGTACCACTGATTGAGGGCCCAATCCTTTAATTGGGAGAGCAGAGTGATATACTTTTACCTTGCCATTTAAAGAGTGAAAAAAGTCACTTTTTGAAACTTAGGGGACAACCAAAATAAATAACTCTTTCACACATATATGTGAAAGTTGTTATTTATTTTGGTTGTCCCCCAAGTTTCAAAGTGACTGTTTTTTCACTCTTTTAAATGGCAATTTATACAGGTCAGTTGCATCATATGTGCATTTAACTTACACGAATTCAACTATACGCGGGGTGGGAGGGGGGGTGGGGCTTGAGTTTGCATGTGGCACTGCCACTTACCTGGAGGCCCATTATGGCGGTGCCGGCCACTGCCTCCAAAACCTCCTGCTGTCGCCATAGAGCTGTGCCCGGAGCTGTGACCAGCCGCTGGGCAGCATGCAGCCATCCCCACCACCACCCCGCACCGCACCGCTGCTGCCAGCCGCACAGCTCTAAGTATGGCACCACCGCTGCAGTGGGTGGTTTTGGAGGCAGAGGCAGTCACCGCTGGCACGGTAATACGTGATTTTCGCCTTATGCGCTGACTTTCGAACCTAACCCCCGCATAAGATGCGACTGACCTGTATATCACATCTAGTTCCTAAACAGATATGAACTATTTTGTTTGTCTTTAAGGAGAAATTGGGCACTCGTATGTCCCTTTCATTATGAGTGCCCAGTCTACTCCTGCATCTAGCTGCAGTACCCTTGGTATTGTTATGAGAGTAACTGCAAGCACCCCTTTTATGTTCTGTGGAGTCAGTCCAGGCTCAGCCTTTTCCCAATCTAGCTGAGAATAGTCCTGCATAATTAGAAGATGCTCTTCTATGCTATACTTGCTCTGATACCAGTTTGATTTTTACTCTCTTAAAAGTGACTACTGTACATAGGAACAGGTTGAGCAAGTCTGGGTTGGTTGTTTCACCTTGGAATGGAATGTTTGATCAAAACATTGTACATATGCTCACAGGAGCCCAGGCCATGCTTCACACTAGGTTTGTTTGCAGGCCTGTTTGTGTGGTGTCTGTGCTTTGAAAACAAAACTGTAAAATGCTGTGCATGTTAAGATGAAGTAATGAATTTCTGCTGGCATCCTGAAAAATGACATACCCTCTCTCAAGCTCCCAGGTGCCTGAAGAGTACTCCAACAGTAGTTAAGCAAATGCTTTTGAATTTTGAAAATATGAGCAATTTTATACTGTTAGTAAGCCAGATGTTTTCTTCTGCTAGTAGAGTTTGGTGCACACTGTGCTATGCTGACATGCAAGTGGGCTTGTGAGAAGAGGCAGTTTTGCTGTAGTACCTTGCTGACTGTCAGTATTTCAGTGCCACAGACATTCTTAATTTGAAATAAGTTCATTTCCGGCTCCTTCAGTTTGCTGGGGCTTTGAAGTGATTTGCTTTTTCATGGCAGTGCATCTTTCTGTGTTTTTGTCCTAAACTTCAAAAACAGGAAAATGGCAATAAAAAAAGACAACTTGAGCCAGAGGGCATGTCAAATCCTGAAAGACCAGTCTGTCTTTTGAGCACTGCATTTTCATCATCTAGGTAAATAATTTCAAAAACACTGGGGTGGGGGTGAAACCTCCATAGATCAAAAGCTTGAGAGATGCCCTACCAGGTAAATAGTGGTCAGAAGTCTTATCTGACCAATTCTCAAGCCTATGTGGCATGTGGACTTCTTTGCAACTTTGTCTATATTGGATTCCCCATCCTGTCTACCTTCATTGTTTGGAGGTGGGGTGGGCATGTCTTTGGCTATCTCAGTCTTGCCTTGGTGATGAAACTGGAGGGATGTTTCCGTTGTTCCATGCTCTTATGCCTTCTGCTTCCAGGGTATCTGGCATGCAGGTTGCAGTCCTAACCAATACTGCTGTTCAAGAACATCATAGTCTTGGGTGTACGAGCTTCAGTTATAAAATAGTGGGGACAATACGTCCTTGTAAAATAGAGCTACAGCTAACATAGGGGCAAATCCCTCTAGTTGAAGAAAGGAGTACTTCTGTCTTTACTTGGGAAGACTCCAGGTTGATTTCAGAGGGAATGCTGGAAGGCAGCTGATTTAAAGGTATGGATTAAGTGGAAGCATAGCAATTCTACTTTGACACCTCAGATATGACTGAACTTTTTTGTTTTGTTCTTCTCAGTGCTTTAACAATTTGCTAAAGAAGTTTATTTAAAAAAAAAAAAAAAAAAGCTGCATATTTACAATAGGTCTGACTTTTGGTGCTGCACTAGATCTGCTCTTCAGTTAGAATTTAGGATTAAATCTGTCCTGTAGAGATCCAACCAAACATCCTTGCTCTCGCTCTGAGCTCCTTCTGCTGTTCATTGGTTTTGAACACTAAAACATGCTTTGAAATATCCTTCCAGACAGTCCATCCCCAACTGACCATGCATTTCATAACTGAAATCAGAAGCATTGTAGAAGGCTGTCAGCAGAGGCAAGATGGGGAAATGGAACCAGTTCCTCATCGAACATGTTCTTAACCTTTTTTAGTTGAAAGGGGACTCTGCTTAGGTGGGGGGCAAGCTCACAGGAAAGGAGACTTTGGTTCTTGTTCTCTCTCTCTCTCTCTCTCTCTCGTGTTTTTGTTTTTACTTTCTCAGTCATCCTCATCACCCTGTTGTCTCCTGATGAATTTTTTTTTTTTTAAGGCTGCAGTTTCATAACCTAACAATCTTCTTCCCCCCCCCCGCCCTTCCCCAGGTCATCTTGAAATGCTAAACTTAGCTGTCTAGAACTTTAGGGTTTTTTTGGCTGTCTAGCCTTACATTTATTGAAGGGATGTTCTACTAATCGTCGTAAGTACTGTTCTTCCAGCTGACTTGCCACCCACACATTCTGGATATCTTGGATAATAATCACTTGCTGAAAACTTTCAAATTTTTAAACTGGATGTCTCAACCTCTAATAAACACCCAGCCTATTAAGCTAGTTACGAACCTTTTGCTGTAAGACCTTTAAACCTACTCTAAAATAGGCCTGTGCAAAGCAGCTAGTATTTGCTTTGGGTTCAGCTGATTCGGAGGACAGCGATTCTATTTGTTGACTTTTGAATCACTGTCCTGAATAGATTCGGCCAAATCTCCGAATCAAACGGGCCCATCCCCTGCCTGGCCCCAGCATCCCAGCGCTTTGAGAGAGAAAAAAGCTCCGCACTCACCAGCTCCTGCCAGGCAGGGGGGGCGCTATCCCTGCTGCCCCCCACTGCCCTGTGCTGTGGGGGGGCTCTGCCACGAACCCCGAGAAACCCTGAAGCTGCTGCAGCATCTGGTGAGTGCAGAGCTCTTTTTTTTTAAGCTGGGACACTGGGATCTGGTGGGGCATTCATTGATGGGGCTGGCAGAGTAGGCGGGGGTTGGGGGATGCTCAGGGGGACTGAGGGAGCAGGCAGGGGATGGGGTCTGGTGGAGGTCCCCCAATGGTTCTTCTACCACCCCCCACCACCCCTCCCCCACATGCACTTACTGGCATGTAGTCCAGGTCCAGCTCCCTGTGATGGCGAGCAGGGACTGCCTGAATCTTTGAATCTCTTCTGAGAGCTTCAAATCGATTCCGGCCTTCTTTTTTATTTGTCTCCCAGTTCGATTTAGAGATTCGGCTGCCGAATCCCATCCACATCGAATTGGCACCCGAAGCTTCATACAGCCCTACTCTAAAGCACTTTCCTTTCCTTCTCCTCCGCTTTCACCCCCCCCCCCAACTTTTTGAGGATTATTGCCTCAGCCACCAATACAAAGCAGGAACTGTCTATCCTGGGTGTTTCTACTTTCCATTAATCTAAAAATGAAACTTGGAGAGGAATGCTCTGAAACTGAAGAGGCTCTGGGGGAGAAGAAAAAAGTCTTGCCTCCATTTTAGCCTGATTTGGTATATCTAAAAAAACTTGCTATATTTGGAATAAGTAAATTTCATGTTTTCAGCTTCCATTTTCCCATATAAGTTTTGAATACAGAAAAATCCTTGTACTTCTGTTGCCCTTAAACTCACAGGAGATTTAATCGCTAAAGAGAGGACCCAAATATTCTATTTAACTAAAATAAAAGGCACCTCTGACCAAAAAAATATTGCCTAAGGTTCATGATAGTCTTCAGGCTAATTCTTAATTCTTCAGTTTTAAATGTTATTTGTTTGTTATCTTCCCAAGCATGCCTTGTAGATTGATATTGCTTTTAATGTTTTTGCATACCATTGGCATATATTGCATTAGTACAAACAATTCTAGCCTATTAAAATAAAGTAGGCAGGTTTACTGCATTACTTTGTCTAAAGGAGTTGAAATGTCAAGCTGTGTCCAACAGTCAGTCCAGTTTTAAAGTGCTTATTCTTATTTTCTTTTCATGCACAGATGCTTCTCTACAACAGATTCATTTATTCATAAGGAAGTCAAAGAGGTGGCTGTCTATATTATAGTAGACTTGCATAGAAATTGGTATTCATTGGAATTCTAATAGAAGCCACTTGTTATATAACATAATGTTAGTCAGAATTTCATGGGTAGTAAAATTTTGATCTGTGAATTCAGTAAAATTTATTAATACCAGTGTTGTTATATGGTTGGTTCTCTTTGGTTTGTCGTTTTAACTAGCAAGCTTATTGGACCACATTTTTTCTGCAACTAGAACTTTGTGTAAGTAAATTAGTATCCGTGGAGCAGCACTGAATGTATTGGGGGGCAGGGGGAAATGGAATGCGGTGTTGGTCTGCTGGAGCACATCTTTCAGGAGTTCCAGCCTCTGGTATGTGAACCTGATAGGCATTCAGTAAAACTAAATGAAAACAGCTTCTTTGAACTTTGTCCTACAGTGGGCACTGAGAGCATGTTGACCTATCTGTTCTAATGCTGGAGGAGTTGGGTTAAATGCAAGAGCCCCTTGCCTAATACAACTTTAATTGGTTTGCCTAAGCAGTACATGTCTTTCCTCTCCAGCTGAGTATTGAACAGGCCCAAGCAGTGGCAGAGCAAGTTGAAATGAAAGCTAAAATGGTGCAGTCTGAAGTCAAAGCTGTGACAACTAGACATAAGAAGGCCCTGGAAGAAAGAGAGTGTGAACTGCTATGGAAGGTAAAAAGAAACTTAATTTACTTGAATTACTAATAAATAACCCTTAAGGTAGAAATGTGATCCTTTTTGAACTAGTAAATGGTCTTATTTCTGATAAGCCTTTGGACTGAGTATTTTAAATTAAGTAATCTCATTGAAAATCATCTTCAGGATGACAGTGGTATTCCCCACCAAAAGTGGGGTGGGGGTTTATGTATGTGTTAGAGATAAAATAGAGGGACTAAGAATTGCAGGGAGCCCACTCTAGTAACCTACAAGCAATAGGGGAGGTCCCTCTGGTGGGGGCATGCAGCAATACATCAGAACCCTGGGAACCATCTTATTCCACCTGCAGCAATATTGAACAGAGTAGGCCTAACTTAACTGCAGGTGTTTATCCCCCTACACATTAAGCATACAATGAATGGAGAGAACTATGCCCAGTCTGGTTTTCTTGCTAACATAAAATGAGAAGTGGTGTTTATCTGATTTTAGAATAAATAAGCTATCCAACAAAAGTTTGGGGGGGGGAGATCAATCTCTTTTCTTAATAACCAAGACTATTCCTTCCACTCATTGAAGAGGCCAGATCTTGGTAAAGGCCACACCTTTCTGTCATAGCAAACGGACACAATGTGGTATGGTGTATTAATATATATTAATATACTGAAACATGTAAAAGCTACTTTCCACACTTGTCCAGACAGCCTTCTTTCTTTTTTGCCTTTATCTTCAATAAAAAAAGTCTGTGCAGAGAGCTGTGACTAACTTACTTTTGTAGTTGCAAGAGTTCACTTGCAAGAATGCCTCTGTATTGCTTTTTGGAATAAAAATGTTGGCATTGCTTTCTGTAGTGATAACTTCTGGTCACTACAGCTAGTGAGGACAGTAGCTAGTGAGCCATCAGAAACTATGCTTACTTTTGTCATTGGCTGGCTGGTGGTGCCTGTGCATCTCTGAATTAAGGAATATGAAAAGGTAAAAATAAGAGGACACTACTTCACCACTGTCTTCCCACCTTCTCCTGCAATCTCAGTCTGCAACAGGCTGCAGTCAAGGAGAGATTTTATGGATGATAGAACAACAAGTGGCATTAGCAACAAGATGTTCTACAAAACAGGCCTAACACTAGTCTATATATAACATGCTATGGGACCTAACACTAGTCTATATAAATCCGTCCTGTCTATTCCATCTATTTGGAAGATGGAGGAAAAACAAATTTCATAAAGCAAGGAAGACTTTAAATATTTAAACTGTAAGGCTTGAGCTGGTTTGTGAAAGTTGGTCAAACAGTGCTTTTGATCCTAAGGGATAGAGAGGACTTCCTGCAAGCCAGGAAGTATCTGTGCTGGAGTCTTTTTTTGTTTTTCTTTGGGTTTTTTAAAGTAATGATCTCTCCTCTTCTGTTTAGGTCTAGCGATGTAAAATTGACCTGAATGAGCAGCAAAATGTTTACAATTGCATTTTGACAATTAGTTATGTTTTGTTTTTTTTCTAGTTCAGTAGTCCAACAAAGTTAAATTTAACTATTTTCAAAGAATCATAAATTAATAGTGACTCCCTTCTCATTTTTAAACTGCTGTTTTGGTTTATTATGTGCAAGATTATTTGAACAGTAAGAGCTTTTGACAGAATTTCTTTGCCTTTTTGGTTTTTTTTTATGGGGCACTTTCTGTGTTGGAGGGAAACATTGCCAAGGAATGAGTAAATCTGCTTTCTTGGAACTTCCAAGGCACTATGTGAAAATTTGTAGTGTTTTTATATACTCGCATCATTTCCTCAATGTAATGGTTATACTTGTCACTAATTTTATAAGGAATAGGTTACTTGTATTGTTTCCCACACAAAATATTAAATGGTTTTAGCAAGTACTGATATCAAGCAATGAGGGAAAGTGTGCATATACAAAAATGCAGGTACATAGATTTCTATGTAAAGTAGACCAACAGTTGTTTACAAACCAATAGCCAATTTTTAAACCTTGGTGAATCAGGTGTAAGGTGCTTTGTCATAAGGTAATTGGCTCCAAAATTTTTGTTTCGGTGCTTGCAGTCACAATACGTACACAAACCATTTTGATTTCATTGGTGTTATTAACACTATTTTAGTTTAAAAAAAAAAAAAAAAAAAATAGTGGATAAGTCCGATCTTCTAACGGCATGCAGAAAGGCATCGTTTAAGGTTTTTTATTTTAGCGTTACTGACAGATAATAGGAAGTAGGCTATCTCCTACGCCTGAGCTGCAGTGAGGATTGACCAAGCTTCTGTGTTTTAAATGAGGTTGCTTCTGCTTTTTCAAGAACCCCTATGTGCCTGGAATATGGGATAACACAAAGGGAGACTTTCTTTTGGTTTAAAAAAATGCTGATTTTAAGTGGCATGCCAATGTAGCCCCCTCTCATGGCAGAAAAAGGCAGTCAGTGGGAAAGGGAAACAATGTTGAGTGTCTCTGGCAGAAGGAGTTTACAATCCTTTAAAACAAAAACATCCATATTAAGATGCAACCTATATTAGGAAAAATTTAAGAGATTCAGGGTGGATGCTTATTTTAAATAGGTTTTTATCTTGCAGACCACTCTTATTCTCTTCAATCTTATCTCACCCCTATGGCAACAACAATTTTGTGCAAGATACTACTATGAGAGACTATTTCTGTAGAACTCCTCTGCTTTTAATATAGGCATTATATCTTTTTGTCTTTAAGGTGGAAAAGATTCGTCAAGTCAAAGCCAAGTCGCTCTACTTGCAAGTTGAAAAGTTGCGTCAGAACCTGAATAAATTGGACAACACAATTAGTGCTGTTCAGCAG